AATAATGTTAGATTAATACAAATTTAATCAATAATAGAATGATGACATCTTATTGAAAGACCATTTAATGATACTGAATATATATGTGAGCAATTCCATGCAAATGTCAACCTTGCCATGAAAAAAAAATAAAGTTTTTACCAAAATACGGATATCGTTACTAGGTTTTTTTGTGTAGGAAATATTTTACAGTACTTAAGAAATACTCAAAAATGTCTCTGTCAATGTTTTCAAACTATTCTGTTTGATTTAACAAAGTCATACAAGTGGCAATTTCACATCTGTCACATCCATAACGACACTTTATCCTCATAAATTAAAAAAAATTATTAAAATTAAATCAATCATTTTTGTTGAGCCAACTCTTATCCTTTTGATTAGCACTGTTTTTTTTTTGGGTCTGGCAAATTAATTTACATAATTTCTACAAAGTATGTTGTATACTGTAAAATAAAATACTAATAAATGTAAATTTTTATATAGTAAAGCAGATTTTTTTCCCTTTTGAACAAGCATTTTTTTTTCTCAGCTGAAAATGACCAAAAGTCATCAAGTCATTTAGTATAATGTTAAATTATTACAAAAATATTTTCAACAAAAATGACATATTAAAATATTACCATTTACCAAATATTACCATTAATGATACTGTATATATATATATATATATATATATATATATATATATATATATATATATATATATATATATATATATATATATTATTGATCATTTATATATCATTTTCATATGTCAGGTATTTTAATACTTCAAAATATTATATTATTTAATAAAAAATATAACTTAAATACAGTTACCATATCTGTTAAGCTAAAAGCAATGAAAATAAGTTCACTCATATTTTGACATTTGTTTTTGCAAAGAAGAATATATGTAATAATAAAAATAAAAATAATGTAATAATCAATTTTCAGAAGACTAAAAAAAAACATTAATTTTAGGTTCAGCATTGAAACCATACACACACACACACATACATATATATATATATATATATATATATATATATATATATATATATATATATATATATATATATATATATATATGCACATACTTGAGTCTGTGCGTGTTTTAAAATGTAATTGTTCATGTATAAAAATGTGTCACCATAATGAGAATGGACATTATTTGAAATATAAAGTTAACACTTGCATTTAATGTTATATAAGTGTATATAGTCACTTGTGTAAAATTAATTTAGACTTTCTTGTAGCAAAGTTAGCCTTAACAAATAATATTTTAAAAATAAAGTATTTTCTGAATAAAATTATTTCATTCAAATAACATGTACTGACCCCAAACTTTTAATTGGTTCATAAACACATATTCTTACATTAAATGTGCTCTACTGTTATAATTGACCTTTTATACTATACTTCAGTTTAGGGATAAAATATGTGGAGTTTTGAGATTGTCACACATTGCATTTAAAAAAAAAGTGCAATAAAAATGTCATTTAAATGTATGGGATTTTCCTGTAGTAGCCACAAAACACTCAGTATAAAGTAAAAAGACCTTTATTACATTCTTGAATCCATGTGTTTAATCCTCATTGTACAATAATAACATTTTAATTTATTCTCTGTATCCGTAATACACCATAAATTATATTCTTTAAAATCTATAGCATGATTCATTTATTTAAAGTTAAAACTGAAACAACCACAACAGGATCATGGCAAAGAATGAGGACTCTTTAGGGGATTTTCTGCTTAAAAATGTTCTTTAAAAAAATAGGATTTTAACTCTTCAAGACAAAGTATGACACTAGACGGGTGAGGAAAAGTTACAGAAAAAGACTAAAATGAAAGAAAACGTCACAAAAAAACAAACAAATAAAAAACACAAACAACACTAGAATCAAATATTAAATTCATCCTCAAATATATATATTTATATCTATATACCTTTGAATATATTTTTGATCCTATTGTTTTTTTAAGCAAGTCAAACTGAAAATGTCCTCCAATAGCACTGATATAAGACAGGGGTAAAAAGTCTTTGATACTTTTGTGATTAACATTCACAAGAAAAGTTACCGTACACAGTGATCAAGGTTTAAGGTCTTCTATTTGGTGCAAGGTGTCTTGCTAGGCTAACTGAAGAAGACATTTTAGGACAGAGAACCCAGCTATCTCCCTGAGTGACTGAATTTAGATGTAAACGCATACTTCTAGAACTACCCCAAAGGGTGAGCGCTTGTGGCAGTTAGCGTGTTGCACTCCACAAAAAAAAAAAACATCTAAAAATCGAAACGGTTTTTACAAAGCACTCGCACTTTGTTACAATCTTTCTCTGCCTCACACGTCAATTTAAGTCAGTTAATACTAGACAAGCATACAAAAATAAAGACAAATTTAAGTGTAGACAACTTGAAGCGATGAGGTGTTAAATGATCCGAGCTGGAGTGCTTATGAAATTCAAGGAGGTTTGTGAGAGCTGTCAATACTAAAAATGGAAAGACTGACTATTGCACAGGCAGACATGACGATACTGTATTAAGCACCCAGAAAATGTGTATTACACCAACCATATAAAATCTTACAAGAAAATATACAGTTAGGCACTGTTCCAGCAGTGCTAAAAAAAATAAACATAAAGGCGAGCTTGTTAAGTTTAACTGTCAGGAAACAGGAGGTTGATTCTTATCAGACATTCGAAACATCTTTCATACCCTGTAATCTCCCAACTTTAGTTGGCATTCCGGTTTCTGGGCCACTCCTAAATCTCCCCTGAGACAAATCTGGACTTCCTGATTCCGAAAAAAAATGGAGGCTGCTTTCACTCTGTGGATAGTTTATGTAACCTCTCTGGGGCCTACTAACCTCACACAGAGTGGGATTCAAACCGGCACTTCCGACATGGGAGTCATGCGCACTAACATGAGCACTAAAACACTGCAGCCTTTAGGATCAGTTAGCTATTGTGACTCTTGAGGCCAGAGGATTGAGTCTTACTCCGCTACTATCACCCTGCTAAACTGTACCTCCATCCGGGTCACGGCACCACTTTAACCACTCCGTTGCCTAGCCTTCAAATGGGATTGGAATCAGCATTAACGTTCCTGAAGGACCACCAACAATGCATGTTTTGGATGTCTCCTTTGTCGCACCTAAAGTCTGTGCAAATGAGCTGACGATCTGAATAAGATGTGTTTGGTTAAGGATACATGGAAAATGTGCAGAGCTGGTGGTCCTCCAGGAATGTGTGCGAGCAACGATGAACTAGACTGCATTCTCTGCATAATGAAAGTGAGATATATTTTCAAAGCTTTAACTAGCTGGTCTTTGTTACATTTACCCCCTTAAACCCCACTTTCATCTGGGTCACGGCATCAATTTAACACTCATAGACCTATTTAACTAATTCCAAGCAGGATTTGAGTATGCATTTCTGCCATTTCTTGGAGATGTGCACTCTAATGGATGCCAAGGACCTCATCTTCCAGCACCAATTGCTAGTGTGGCCCTTGAGGTCGGAGAGTGATGTTTACACAGTATTGGCCTCAGTTGATCTAGCAATGTTTTTGCTCCTTAACATTTTGAAACACAAACTAACTGTTTCCCAAACTCAGGGGGGTAGCTGATGGCTCTGTCAATAGTTGTGCTATATGTGAACACTTAGGGTAAAGTGGATGAGGGAGGGGTTATCACACAGCAACACAACACTGATCTCTGCATCAGACACTATGCAATGCATGAGGTATGGCCTGTGATTCCACTTATCCTCACAGCCGAAACAGAAAAAAAAGTACAAATAATCATGTTTCCGTTGTGTCCTCGTGACTCTCTGCAAGCCCAGTTATCAGTTTTTGTCTATAGAAATATGGTTCCTTCCATCCACTTCCATGTTTTGTCTTCTCCTGATCCCAGCAGTCCTTTGAGTGGTTTGCTACACACTCACAAGAAGGGTCGAACTTCAGTCTCCCACATAGTGGCATTGTCTTTTCGCCATCTGATTATGGGGCAACAGAAAAGTCCTGCTCCGGCAAAGTCCTTTAATGTTGGAGTATTTAAGTGCTGTCCGCCTGCATCTACAGAAGATCTAAAGCTTTCGAAATCAGCTCCAGCCCAGAATTCACTCCTGAAGGGGCTTGAAAAACATTCGTTCTAAGGTGCAACTTTCTATCTAACTAGTCCTCCACCGCTATCTACAGGCTCTGTTTATAAATATATTCTCAGATACATCTATCGTTCTACACACATGTAGTTTCTGATCAAATAAGGATATCAAAATAGTATCTAATATCTGTATCCAAGTGGCATCCAAGTGTGTGGGAAAGGGTAAAAAGGATGAGGTGTTTGTTAGCTTAGTTGCATCTTTTAAAACAAAACATCGCTGCACATGCGGTGCACTGTACGTTAGTGTTTTTTCCGTGAAAAGGTGCTTATGTGACATTTACGACTGCAGGCATGCAAGCATTGGTCCCTTTAAACAGTTTCAAAACTGTTCATTAACAGAAACCAAGCATTAAGAGCTTGTTTTACATTTGGGGCAGGAATTCATAATACATTCTTTCTTAATCCTGAGGCTTTGCCACATGTCAGTTGGGTTACATTCATAGTTCTCTTCCTAAGAGTACGCAGGGAAATGTTGGCTTTTCAAGCACTTAATGTTTTAGGGAGCCCTAAAGCTCCGAGTTAAATCGAGTACTCTTTAAAATGAATAATTAAATATATAATTTACTCTACTTGAGTCATTATATGTAGGTAGCATGAGTAATAGTAGCCAGCACCTTAGACAGCTGTCATTTAACAGCGTCTTTAAAAGAAATCTGGGTCCTGTTGAAATAGAGGAGTGAATCACTCCATCAGGAGAGAGGTTATAGATGGAGTCCTAAAGTGTAACGTGCAAGATTGTCAGTGTGTTGCTGGTTTTTCTTAAACACATATCCATCTACCTCCGTTCCTGTCTTTCTTTAACTCTTTCTACCTCTCTTTCTTTCCTCAGAGCCAATATGACGCTTTCAGAAATGTTAGCCTTCGGTGGAGTCAGGGAAGGTGATCTCGCTGCAGAAAACCTCTCTGTAGAGAGCAGGGAAGTTGTAGGCTGTTTCTGGGTGAAGGAGGCGGAAAAACTCCAGCTTATCAATATGGAGATTGCAAATAGACTTCATCATGGGTAACTTGGAGACCATCTATTGAACCAATAGAAAGAGGAAAGACAGTTATTGCATTTTACAACACATCTGATAAAAACTAGCTTTTAGCTTTTTTTTTAGTTTAATAGCATAAAAAAATATAGATTTTTTAATTTGTTTTTTAGAATTACTCAAGTTAACAAAGGCTGAATTTATAGTAAAAAAAAAAACAACACTAGTAAAACAGTGATAATGTGAAATATTATAATATGCAATAACTACAGTATTCGGTTGAAGTAAAAATTATTAGCCTCTTTGATTTTTTTTTTCTTTTAAATATTTCCCAAATGATGTTTAACAGAGCAAGACAATTTTCACAGTATGTCTGATAATATTTACTATTATAAAATATATACTAATAGAAAGTCTTATTTGTTTTATTTTGCTAGAATAAAAGCAGGTTTTAATGTTTTAACCATATTATGTCAAAATTCTTAGCCCCTTTAATAATTCAGGGAGTTTAATAATTCTGATTGCAACTGAATGTAACTTGTTTTATCTATCTTTAGTTCGGAGACCTATTTCCCTATAGGATTAGTAAAGTCTAACAAACAAACAGAATTACAGAGACAGGACAAAAACAGATAATAATTACAAATTAAAAATAGCAGTAAGTGTGAATGCAAATATATAAACTGACAGGTGTACAATATATGCATGTATATTACAACAATATATGTGCAGCTGTTATGTGCAAATTGGCATGTAAAGTATGTTGTTAAATAAATATTATTAATAAATAAAAATAGCTGATAAATCCCCTATTGTATTATTAGAAAATAATGCACACAGTAGTGATGCTCATACTCAACAGCACACAAAATGAACTTGATTTTTTCTCATTACCTTGGCCAGTTTCTCCTCATGGACACCGCTTTTATGAAGATAGTGTTGCAAAGCAACATAGACCTTCTCCTGAAGCTTCTGCACTTTCTGGGCATCTGTCAACCAAGGTCGGTCTGTGAAAAAAATATGTAGAAGTGTAAACTCAAATGTCTGGTCAAGAATTTTTTACAGTGGCTACAAAAGTTAAAGATGTGAGTAAAACTACCTGGAGACAGAAGCACAGTAGCAGTAAATAGAGCCATCTCTTCTTCCGACAGCTGCAGCCGACTGAGGGTTTTAGCCATCTCAAACACAGCGCTCACCAGATCATCACAACCTACAAATGAAAAAAAAAATACATTCAAAAATGAAGAAATCAAAAATAACACTCCAATTTGCAGAACATAACAGTAAAAGGGAAACAGTCTGGAACATTAGCAAACAATCAACTGACCTGGAAAGATTTCAATTGACCTATTTTTCCCTTAAATTGATGTTTGTTTAAGTCTATATAAAGAGTAACCACAACTTAATATGATTTTACAGCACTTAGTGTACTATTGCTCAGGTTAATTGCACACACATGCCCTTTGAAATGCTACGAGGTGTCAAACTGTGTGAAAGGTTCAGGGAGGAGACTCACCGAGTGCTTTGAACAGCTGTGGGCTTGCAAACTTTCCATCGAACAACAGCGTGTTGTTGATGGGGTTGTAGGCCCGACACATTCGGATCAAAAGCACGTCCAAGCAGCCTGGATGGCCAGCGCCACATAGAAGTTGGACAAAGGAAAAGCAGGATTGAGGGGGGCAGAGGGGAGAGACAGGCAAACGAATGCTCCACACAAACACAGAGGAAAACAAAAAACAAGTGGGGTTTAATTCCACAAATTACAAAAGCGATCCATTAAAACAGTCATCATTTCACAGAGGAATAGTGATGTCAACATGATGGTTGTTTTAAAGAGGGAAAATAAGACAAAGGTGTTTTTTGTTTCCATTTAAATAAAAGGAAAACCACACAATGCACAAAGGGAGGACACAAGCAGGACAAAAGAGTGAGAGAAAACGACAAAAGAGCGATTGTTAGAGCACAGACGAGAAAGAAAGAATACATTTAGCCCAAACTAAAACATACTAAATTTAAATGTAACCCTGGATCACAAAACCAGTCATATTTGTTTTGAAATTGGGGTCATTCCAGAATTTGAATGATTAAGATTTTCTATTGATGTATGGTTTGTTAAGATATGGCAATATTTGGCAGAGATACACCTATTTTGGAAATCTGGAATCTGAGGGTTCAATAAAATCTAAATTCTGCACATATTGTCCAAACTAAATGCATAGCAATGCCTAATACTAATCACAATCTTTGTTTTGACGTGTAAAGAAGGAAATTTGATGTGTAAAGAAGAAACAAAATGGAACATGATCTTACAATTCTAATGATTTTTGGTATAAAATAAACAATAATAATTTTGACCCATACGATGTACAGTATTTTTGGTTATTGCCATTAATTTAGACCAGTGGTTCTCAAACTGTGGTATGCGCACCACTTGTGGTACGCAGGCTTCGTTCTAGTGGTACGAGGAATCGCTAAATAAATAAAGTAAAAAAAACAAACACTTTTAACCCTTTAAAGTGTATGATGACGCTGACATGATCAGTAAATTGATTTTAATAGGTTAAACCTTTTATTTTATTTTATTTTCAATTTTCTAATGTTTGTTATGTATTCTATCATTTGAAGCAAGTTTCCTCCCCATGTTTATATTGGCTGTTGGGGGCGTATCCTGTATTTTTATATCCCAATGTTGGCAGGTCATTATGGTGGTACTTGGAGAAACAATTTTTTTTCTGAGGTGGTACTTGGTGAAAAAAGTTTGAGAACCACTGATTTAAACCATTACAATATGGCGATGTCACTGGCCCACGAACATTTACTGCTTGCTCTCAAAACTATTTCAAAACTGTTGCACGAGCCAATACAATCACATCCTAACATAAAAACAGCTGTCAATATGTGGACCAATATGATTCTCTGTAGCTATAGAAATTAAAATTGTAAAACAGGAAATATGTTAAGACCACTGTTATTGTTTACATCCCTCATAATGGTGTATACCTTTTGTGGTCCAAGGTCACATTTTGTAAAAATACAGTATTACAAGATACATACACATGCATTCATTAAAGATAACACTGATTTGCTCATTTCTTGCACACAGTTGATTCTGACCTGCTTTCAGAAGGATAATCTGGTCATTTTGAGACAAGTCCATGAATCCAGAGATTCGCTTGGCAAACTCCACCACATACTGAATGGCGTTGGTGAGTTGCACTGCACACTGCTGCCACAGCATCTCTGTGGGCTTGGATAAGAAAATATTTGTTAGAATCTGCCACCCATTTTCCGATTGCAGGTATGATGTGCAATTGACGTACTTTTTAATGCATTTTTAATTAGGCTCTTAAAAAATTAGGACAGGAACTATTGTATACTGTAGGAGTCATTAAAGTGGAATGTAAGGTTGGGTAATTGCTAGGATCACAATGTACATATGATAAAACATGCCGTTACACCTGTTACATGTTATTATAAAGCATGATGCATCTCAGTTACCTTGTTTTGGTAGACACGGATCTCTTCAGGTGTGTAGAGGGTCCAGGCTAATCTTTTCAGTTCTTCTGTGCTGTATTGACTTGTCTCAATGTGGGATTTTATCACATTTTGTGTGATCCGTTCTGAAAGAAGCATACATATATATATACACATTATATGACATACATCTTGACAACTGGCATAAGAAATGTAGGAATATGTAATATAACAGCAGATCTTTGGATTTTAAATGTATCAGTATCCACTTGATAAAAAGTTATATTTATGTTTATAATTTCAGAAATTTACAGTACATGTATTATTATTTATAAAATACAGTTCAAAACTTTGGGGTCAGTAAGAATATTTTCCTCATTAAAAAAGTAATGTTAATGTCATGCTGAACTCGCAAACCAAGTTCACATGTTTTGGACCTGTTTCCTTTTTAGGAGTCTGTTTTTGATTCCTTTTCAGCAATTACATCTATTAAAATTGATCCTACAACAATAATTGGCCTGTTTGGAGTTCCACCCCCTGACTGTGAGTTACCATTTTATTTTTCTGAATTAATTTCTGTCATTATTAGCTAGGTGGTGTATTTTGTAGCAGTGAAAGTCTCCTCAACCCCCATCCCACACTCAATGGATTACATTTTATTTTTTGTTAAATTAGAAAAAATTAAATATAGTCTTCGAGGTTGAGGGATCAAAGTTTCTAACATTTGGTTGTCCAATTTGGAGCATGTTAAATCTCTGAAACTTAAAGGGGTTACTGTAAAATGAATGGTTTCCTATCCTGCACTTTTAGTCTGTACCTTTCAGTTAAGCACTAGTGCTGATATAGCACAAGCATACAACTCTTTCTTGACATAAAACCACAAGTTTGAAGAATGTGCCATCCTCCAGCCTATTCAGTTTAATATATGTGTCCCTTTTCTCACTCTTTACATTTTTATTTTCTTTCATCTTTTATTATCATTCTTTATTTCACTTAATACATCATGCAGCCAACCTCAACTTTCAGTACTGACCTGTTTATATGCTTAATTTGTCAAATGAATGCACATCATATACTGTTTATGAACATCATATACTGTGTGTTGCACAATATGAAGGTTATAGTATGGTTCATTTTTATTTCTTAATACATTTTGTACTTTTATATTTTGTACTTTTATATATAAATAGAATCTATAGAAAATATAGAAAATATCTAGAAAATATAATTTTGCACTGTTATTTTCTCTTTTGCTTTTGTTTTGCTGTCAAAAATCTGATAGATAAATCTAAAAAAAAAAAAAAAAAAGTAATGTTTTGTTCAGAAATGGAATCATTAAATTTATTAAAATGGACAGTAACGACATAAATAATAATTTCTATTTTATTTAAATGCCATTCTTAAACATTTGCCAAAAGATCCTGACAAATACATGTCTACAATTATAATATTAAACTGCAAAATAGTTTTTAACTTAAAAAGTGATCGATGATAATAACAATAAATGTTTGCTGAGCATCAAATGAACATAATTGGTTTCTGAGGGATAATGCAACACTGCAGTAATGACGTTTAAAACTGTAAAAATAATCAAATAAATTCAGCATTGGTAAAAGTAAGATAATTTTTCACATCATTAAAAAAATCATACTGACCCCAAACACTTTAATGTTAGTCCATCTACAATAATGTAGAATAAATATACCTAATATTACTTTCTACTAACCTATTTCCATCAATGAGCAGCCTTCAGGTGGATTAAGTATCGAGCGAGTGAAGAGTCCAGACTCGTGTGGGCTCATATACTCGTGTTTGATGTGCGTCACGTCACCAAACTCTTGTCTGTTTGACTCAGGAGAACTCTGGGAAGACGAACTGTTCCCACTGCTTCCTCCCAATAACTCTAAACTGCAGTAATCTGCAGCTTCCTCCGGTGTGAGCGGCAGATCAAAAAGAAGACCGTCTGGTAGTGTGGTAATGTCATCCAGATCGCTGAGGGTGGTGCTGGAGCCCCGACTGTAAGCCCGACTGTGCCCGTTGCCGTTCTCCCCAGCCTCATCCCCAGTGTGGCTGGATATACCATTGCCAAGACCCCCTGCTCGCTCCTGGGACTGCTGGTGCTTCTGAACCTCGGCGTAAAGACTGTCACGCTGCTTTTTTGACATGCGGCCAAACTTCACCGCTGCGGAGGAGAAAAAAATAGAGGAAAGATTAATGTTAGAAGACATCTGATGAAGAGTTTCTAGTCTGGAATTATCCCATGTAGTGAGAATATCAAATAATCAATCAATAAATATATATTTTTCTACTTTTGGAGCAGTGGTGCTGTGCAAACTTTGCTTTTCCTTTAGGACAGGGGTACCCAAACTCAGCCCTGAAGGGCCAGTGTTCTACAAAGTTTAGTTCTCAATCAGACACACCTGAGCCAGCTAATCAAGCTCTTACTTGGCTTTCTGGAAACCTCCATGCAGGTGTGTTCAGGCAAGTTGGAGCTAAAATCTGCAGGACACCAACCCTGAGTTTGGTCAGCCCTGCTTTAGGATATTATGTTTTTTTTTAATAGAGTGAGCTTTTGGCCAGTTGGATGTGCCCACTTATTCATAGAAATGTATAGAAGAACAACCTTCATTTACAATATACAAAATAAACATGCTTGAAAGAATATTTACATAAAATAAACTTATTAAACTTATCAAAAAAATACAACAAATACAAAACAGGAAGGAAAATAAAATAAATAAAAATATTACAAAAGACCCATACTAAATTGGATTTGATTGTTGAAAAACTCAAAATGCCTACAAGGGAGAAACTGAAACTACTATCGTGTTTTTTGACAAGTAGCCAGTGATAATACGAGGGTCTTAAATTCACACTGAGACCATGACAGTTTAATAGGTGACTCCATTTTTAGCAGTAAATTTGCTCTTGGGTAAGACTCACCATCACGGCTCATGCCCAGTGCCAGACACTTCTGCAGGCGGCAATGCTGGCAGCGGTTGCGATTGGTTCGGTCAATAATGCAGTTCCTCTGCCTTGAGCAGGAGTACATGGCATTGTTCTGCTGACTTCGACGGAAGAAGCCCTTTAATAAATGAAAAAAGGAAAAAGAGGTGAGATCAAGAAGAGATTGCATTTCATTCAAACTCGTCAATTAAACAAGGATTAAATGTCATATCACCTGTTAGAATGTAAAATCAATATTGCGCAAATTAAAACGATAGTTCACACAGAATCAAAAAAAATGTACTTAACGTTTACTCAATTGATTGCAAAAATTTTATTTTTCATTTTTCTGTTGATCCCAACTGAAGAAATTTGGAAGAATATTAGCAAACCAGTCATTACTAGAATGTCAAACACAATGGAAGTCAATGGCTATGAGATTCCCAAATTTCCTCAGAATATATTCTAATGTGTTTAACAGAAGAATTGAAACTTCGGTTTGAAATTAGACTACAAGAGTTGTCTGTATGGATTCAGCCACCAGACGATGTATTAATGCAATGCAATTAGCTTCAAAACATGCCGGAGTAATGTTGTTTAATACAAATTTGGCATTTGGCAAAGGCAGGGAGTCTGAAACATAAGATCGGCTCTGGCACACTCGGTGTGTCCAGTGTTCAAATACAAGCTGACTGAGATTTCTGACTGGTCAAAAAGCCAATCAGATAAAGGAGTTGTATTGTTTACAGTTTCAGAGAACAGTCGGAAGACGTCAGCAGGGTGTAACTACAGGGTGCTCTACATTTAAACAAGTCTTGTATATTTTAACACCGTTTTTCTCTTAAGCAAGTTTAGCTTTTAGACTAATTTTAGGCTTCTTAAAGTCATAGATCAACTAAAAATGAGTTCTACCATCATTTACTCACACACATGCTGTTACAAACAAATATTATTCTTTTTCCAAGATATTTTTAAAAATATTGTCCTATTCATAAAATCACAATCAGTGAGGATCCAGTGTTGTTTTAAACCCTTCTGACTTTCAATGTATGGACAAAAACAGTTCAATCTAAAGAATAAACATGAGGATGAGTACATAATTTGTCATTTTAGGCTAAACTATCCTATTACTGAGCAGAAATGATGACAACCGAAAGGATTTTTGCTTACCTTGCAGCCTTCACAAGTGATCACCCCATAGTGGATGCCTGATGATTTGTCCCCGCAAATCTTGCATGGGATTACTTCAATTTGAGCTGTAAAAAAGGGAAGTGATTAAAACATTAGCTCTAGTATGACACACTCATCCATCACCTATAGACAAGTCATGATTCAAAGCATTGAAAGCCATCAGCTATCAACTGTACATTGAATTTCTAAAGCAAGCTACGTACTTTGCTGCGGCATTGCTAGTTTGGCTCATTGATCTCAGTGCGATCATTCAATAACAGAATTAAAGGCCGAACAGAGCCTGAAGGTCTGCTTTGACTCTCGCGGGGAAGTGGAAACTTTACTACTGTCATAGTCTTTCAGCGTTAACAATGAACAGCTAATGCACAATAAGCAGGGTCAAGAGCTTACAGCTCATATTCAAAGACTAAAGGTTTGACCCACTCAGGATGACATAACACAAGTCCTTGGATGGCAGAATCAAAAACAGCTTTATAAACAAAGCTCGCTCTCGGCTTGGCACCACTGCGCTGGAATTAAGCGGATTGTGATGCTCTGTATGAGAATTATAAACAGCTGCAGGTTCATGAATAGCGTCTTTGATGGGAAAGAGTGCCTAAGAAACAAACAAAACTGAATATATACCATGAGAAAGAAGTTGTTGAACTATTTGTCGCAGCAAAAAAATGTAACCACCAAATAGCAGGTTAATAATATTTATCTATTATGACGACCCAACTTTTGCCCATTAGGTCAAATGATATATGATGGATGCCCGATAAATCAAAGTTCTTCCAGCAAACATAGTCTGATAATCTGGACGGTTGAAGCAATGATGCAACATCTTAGGTAACATGTTGTGACAAAGAGAACCGGCCGTCCGGGTATAATGACATGAGGACCAACACTTCGGCCCAAATGCTTGTTGATGCATGTGAGCAATGGAGGACGAGGGTGAAAAAAGATATAGGATTTCCTAAAGCTAAACAACACACTCTCCTGTAGCACTTTTCAAAACACAGAGAATGAAAATAAAGTTTATTTCATAATGCAATCTGTCAGCCGAATTACTAAATGGAACATATTCATTCTTTTTTGTTAGCTCTCTCTCTCTTTCAACCCCATTCTGAGCCCCCGGCCCCCACCCTGCCTGTGTTATATAACTGCTGTCTGGCTACATTCCACGAACACACTCATTCAGAGGAGATCACCCTGGCAACGCAGTGACGAGCATTCCTCCATCCCGCCCCTCCCACTTTCCCATTGGCTCGTGACAGAATGGCTTTGATTCTGACTCGCCGACTCACATGCCACTCACCTGCGTAGCACGGTCAGGCTATGTGGCTGAGCTGTTCTACTGACACACTTTCCAACTGAGCCGAGGGAGGCGCTTGTGCGGTAGCCTCGCAAGCGTTGTAATCAGATTAAATTTTTTTTTTTAGTGTGTTTCTCCTTTTTCCTGCTCTTGGCATGTTTTAAGGTGGAACCACCAAATCAAAGAACATGATATCATTAAAAAAACTCAATTTAAATTCCTACCACTGATTCTTTAAAGAACGTTGAAGTTTTTTACTTTATCAGTGACATAAGAGGCAAAAGGTGCATTTTATGCATATATATGACAGGCTTGATATATTACTAGTGCACATTTGAAATATCTACAGAACTCTCACTAGGCACCCTGTAACTTACACTTGCCCTCAACATGTGGCAGCCTGTCAAAAATTCAAGCACAGTCCCAGCTGTCTCAGAGGACTCACATGAAACTATTTTTAACCTATGGCTCATGTGCATGATGGTTGGAGGGTGAATTTTTATCAAGCGTTGGTTATACCATGGTGTACAGCAGATTTGTTTTTACATACACATTCATAACATAAAGCGAAAACTTTCATACTGCACTGATTACAAGGAAGTATGATGCACCTAAAAGCTGAAGTAAAGTAATTTGACAGCTTTTAGGCACAATTTGAACTAATTTTAGACATTTATTAATAAAAAACGAGAATAAATGAGTCACTCATTTGTATAAATCATCATTTACTCTCCCTCATAGGGTTACAAACTGCATGAAAACATGAGAAGATATTCTGAAGAAAGTTGAAACCTATAACCATTGACTTCCATAGGAGGAAAAACAAATGCTGGAAGTCAACAGTTACAGATTTCCAGCATTTAAAAAAATATTTTCTTTCGCGTTAAACAGAAGACAGACACTCATTGAGGTTTAAAACAAGTAAAAGGTGAGTAAATGATTGATTTTGAGGTAAGCTATCCCTACAAAGGCGCTTACATAACCATAAAATGAATACGTTTGTTGTTTTGATAATTCAATCAGGAACTTGATTTCTGCCAAGTGAATTATTTTTCTTTATCCCTACAGGCATATCTTTTGAATGCCATTATTCGAATGAAATCAATTCAATACTTAGCCAGATGAAAAGTATACAAGCAAACAGCTCTTGTTTGATTAACTGATCCAAACACTGCTTTAGAAGCCGGAGGCGAATCCACTCAGACCGCCGAAAAACTAATTAAGAGGAGATTTATTACAGCGCTATGTTTATCAGGCAAGCTGGGGTTAGTAATCTACCTCTTCTTATCTCCTCGCTCTGGGCTGCTCTATGTCAGTTAGTCAGTGTGTCAGTCCATCAAACACAAGTCAGCAGTTTCACAGGGCGATGCTGGGAAAAACCCAACACAAGCGCACAGACTTTGCCCTTTTATCTCGCATAATCAAACAACTTTGTACAGCAACGTCCAAAGGTCCCGTTCAACTTGCACCTTGCATTTGCATAACACATCACATAGCTAACCTGCGAGATTTGTAAGCGAAATCTGCATTAGAGACAGTTTTCAGGAGACCGCTCTGCATATTTGCCAGCCAGATTGCTTTGATCTCAAGCAAACAGGGTCCCATTTGCATCTGCTTACTCGTACGTGAGATTTCGAAGCAGTTTTGTGGTCTGATGTAATGATTTTTCCTCTCCCACATCACTTAAAACGAGCTACCAAGTAAACTGAGAGGGTTGAATGACACCGCAAGACTCTCTTTAAATATGCACAGAGGGATTGAGTAATTCTTTGGTATAAGTAACAACACCAAGTTGAAAAACAAGAGCTGATAGGGAGTGTAAGGTGACTCTTGATGGGCAATAATTATCTTGATGCCACTGGGATTAGGAAACAATAAAAGTCTCATACAAAAATAAAGGAAGGTGATTTTATTTTAAATGTATGCAAACATTAAGAAGACGAAACTAGTTTGGCCGTAATAGTTATTAAAAATGAGTCATGTAGGAAAAACTTGTGAAAAGGTTGGGTTTCATTTAGGACGTATTAACTAAAACGCTTTCGGTGTGCTGTAATAATTGCTAAGCCTCACTCTGAAAAAAAAAAAATCATGCAAAACGATGAATTGCTTTTGAAAAAGAAGGGTTTTAATCCCTCGTAGTTCAATTGCCTGGTCACATTCTACCATTGCCTGGGCTTAAGTTGTGGTTTAAATGAATGGAAACTTCATGGGCAGGTGTCAAAGTGCCACTGCATTAAGCTGCTCAGCATTCATTTATAGACTGCTCTTTGCTTAAGTCTTCAAAGCCATGCAGGCTTATAGGCTACAGCGCTCTGCATACAGAAGAGTGTCTTTGCTTTGGAACCACAAAGTCAAAAGAAACACTCTGAATATCCAAAGCTCGTTTAATTCTTCCTATGATTCTGCTTTTCCACATTTTCTGATTTCTACACTTTGACAATTCGATTTTAGTGATGAACCTAAAACTCCATGAATCTAAAACTCTCAGATTACATGTAATCTGGATTAGGTAATCAGATTGTAAAAAATGAAGTACATGTAATTAGATTATACATTACATATTAATGTACTTACAATCAGATTACAGTAGCTTTTTATTGATTAAATAGTTGCATGTGATAAATAGCTGTGAAATCGTAATTGTATCCAGTTGCATTCAGTAGTAAAAGAAAATCTGAATACATACTTGTAAAATATATGAATATGAATATATATTTAAAATGTGGAAGTTGTTGGCTTTATAATGCTTATTACGGTTTGTTCATTGCTGTCTGGCAAAACCACTTTAACCTAAAATACTTAATCTTTAATATTTTAAAATAATATTTGACAATATTTAACAAATGTTCAGGTTCATAATTCTCTGACTGTCAAAAGACTTTCTGATCAATAAATAAAATATTTCATACTTTTTTTTTGGAATTTAAGTGGTCTATTTCAATGATCCTTTATTACTTTACATTGTTCCGACTAAATACGATTCAAGTTTTAATAAGGTGTCATCTCTGTCTATTTTTACATGAAAAAACTATCAAATCTATGTGATAAACAAGGTAGGATGAAACTAATCAAAAAGTAGTCTGATTACATTACCTAACATGTGTAATCGAGTTTGCAATCAGTAATGGGCCTATCCAGTACTTCTATCCAGTACTTTACCCAGGTCTAAAAACATACCAGCTGTAAAAGCATAAATTAAAATAAATGCTGGATATAACATTGCTTTGATTTAAAATAAACCATAGTAATTACAATTATACACACACAAATATAAACGATTAATTCACATTAAACCTGACCGCTCAAGCCCTTGTTACTGCACCATTGCACAAAAGAAGGCGCTGTTTCCCTCATACAGTATTTCGGGTTTCGTTCAATTGAACAACCCTTACCACAGTTTATCATGCTGGTATTCAGGACTGAGTAAAGGTTGAAAGACGATGCCAATAAGGAAAACAATAAACCGAGCCTAAAACTGTGCATTTCCCGCCATGATATCTCAGTGCTGTAATATACAGTGCAGTCTTCAATGACAGAAGTAGGTCAATGTATCAGATAGACTGTCACACCGGCGGCCATGCTGAGACCGAAAAACAACAACACAGAGATACTCCCCCACTCCCTGTGCCCCAAAAATACTCACACTTGCTGAAAGTCTCCCCTGAACTCACTGATAAGCTTTATCACGATAAAACATTGAGCAGAGCTCAAGTTTAACATGGCGGTTAGGCTATAAGTGCTGTGACCAATTGCATAGCAACTTCGCGCACGAG